GGGCGCTGGGGCCGGGGGGGAGCCCGGGCCTTCCCGCCGGCCTGCTCCCGCCTCCGGAGCCCCCTGACAGCGGCGCTCCCCGGGCCGGGCTGGGAGGAGGAGCGGCCTCCTCCTGCACCGCTTGTGAAAAGCGGTTAAAAGTACCGGCGGCGTGAAGGCAGCGAGGGAATGGCGTCCGTCCCTCGCTGGGTTCCCGCTCTGCAGGAGTCCTCGGTGCTCGGGCAGCAGCAGCGTCTGCCACGGCCTGCTGCCTCGGCCCTCCGCTTAGTGGTAGCAACAGGTCTGATTTCCCTCTCGCTGGTACTAATATTTGAGTTTTTAAATAACAACGAGAAGCGGTGAGGTCCGTGGGTAAGTCTTCACATCCCATCTCTTGTCAGCGTTCATCCGCCTCACAGATTTGCCAAGGAATTTGATTTGCACCTTCCGCAGCCCCGTGTTCCCGTCCAGCAGCAGCCGCTGCACGCAGGCTTGTCTTAGAAGCGATTCAGCACAAACGAACTGTATGTTCATGGTGTTTTGGGTTTTTTTTTTTTCCTAACCCCAATAGTAGGCACGAGTGTTGCTCCAAAATACCAGCTGGCAAGGTGTGAGATGCTGTCTGGCAGCTGAGTGCTCCCGCTTGTGCACGGGCTGCAATCGGCTGTGTGAAGCCTGGGAAAATCCTGCATAAAACTCCGTCAATCTTGGACGCACTCTGTTTATATTCTCTTCATGTTGCCTCATTAGTGCAGAAACTCGCATTCGCGTGAGCGTTACCACCGAAATAATTGCCTAATATAATTAAAGCGCCTGGCTCTTTAAATTCGACGGGTGGTAAAAAAAGGCCTCATGTCTTCATGAATTAAAAGCTGGCATGGTTGCACAGTCTCATTGAATCCGTCTCCTCGCTCCTTTCAGAAACACCGCAGTGGTGGTCTGCAGGGCTCTGGACGCACGTCAAGGAAGCATTCGCCCGCGGCGGCACATTCTGCAGGCTTTGTAACTGCTGTGCTGGCCCTAATGTTGTATGCAGCCAGGAGAAACGTTGTAAGAGAAGTCAAAAGAATTTGGATGGAGTGACTGACCTCGAGTACGGTCGCTCTGGAGTTATTGACAGTTCATTCCTGTGAATGCTGCCATGCACACATACTAAACTATTTTCTTTCTTCCAAAAAGTCAATGAACTGTTAAAAAATTTACTCAGGGTTCCACCATTTACAGTAATTTTGCCACGATATGCCAGGTGAAATATTACTGCTTATGTCTGTGTAATAAGAATGGAAAGAAAATATGCTTTTCTTAAGAAGATATGGATGCAAATCCTATGTAAGATGGGTTTCATGTCTGCAGCATTGGGAGGTTTGGCTCTGATGAAAATCATGGGTGTAGTTAGTTGTTTTCTGCACTGTGAGGCTCAGATGACTGGAATTATGTTCTTCCAGTTTAACAAGGTTATCCATTTAATAAGTGGAGAGATGAGTCAGAGCACAACCCTAGATCCCAGCTCTCATAAGTTTAACAAGTAAGGACAGTCTGAATCTGACCCTTCCACTCTGAAAAGACAATCATTACTGAACAGTACATGCAATTAAAATTTGTCATTGTCTTCAAATTTTGAATATTGGAATCAGAGCAAACCACCTTATCAGTGTGACACTGGACGTTTCATTTGAGAAGCTGTTAAATTTAGATCTAATTTTTACTGCTCTAAGAAAAGATGCTGAGAGGGTGTAAATTACGCTTAAGAGTCAGGCCATTTTTTACTGCGCGGTAATGGAAAGGTGCCTGAGGGAGCCTGGTTCACTGAAATCTGATTCAGCAGTCTGCTCAATTAGCTACTAAACGCGTGGAAGGGGAGGCACTTCAGCCATCGGGGTGAATCTGGGTAACCTCTCCGGGAGGTCACCGCTACTCCTTGCGTTTACAGTGTGCCCTGTCTCTGTGCGCAGGCAACAGGACAAGCTGCTAAATCAGCAAGGACGGTCGTCATCGCTGGTGTTCCAGATGGCCTTCTGCATGATGATGTCATGACTGACATACTGATGATTCATTTCCAAAAGTTGAAGAATAACGGGGGAGATGTGGAAGAAGTAATGTATCCAACAATGACAAAAGGAGTTGCCTATGTAACTTTTGAAGATCAAGAAGGTATTTAGATTAATATACTAAATACAGCCATCCCCCAAAGAATTAGCCCTAGAACGTTAACCTGAAAACAAATGATTTTAAATTGTTTACTGGTACTAGGATTTTGTAGAACTGGGAGACTAACGCCTCTCTTTTAGTCAGTCAAAGTTTTACGATTTTATTTCTGTTCAGTGAAGAGATGACTCTGAACAGGCTTTGTGCAAAGCATTTGTTATGTTTGTTTTTAGGAATAAATTTATACCGTGCATAACAGATATGATTTTTCTAGTCAGGCCTTTGAGGAGTAAATCTCTGCCAGTTAATG